AGTTTTATAACTTATACTTACTCGTAACTTGAGAAGAATTTATAAGTAATTAAATCAATCTTAATTTTACACTTAAAGTAGGTTCTTACTTCTAGGCTGTGGCGGATTTACAGTTTCGCCGCCCGTAGGCTAGGGTGGGGTTGGATCTTTATTTAACTTTTATCTTCTGAAATCGAGTAAGCGTCATCTGAAATCTGCCGCCCCTAGGAAGCTGCCGCCATTAGGCCGCGGGATATACGGCCTATTGACAGATCCAGGACTGCTTCTAGGGGAGGCCTATGTTCAGCAGTGGACGTCCTGTGGCTGAAATGATGACGATGAGTTTGTAGACAGATACGGTTGTTGTTTCGTTCTCTATAAAGCAGACCTTAGCTAGCAGTGGACTTCTAAAGGATGCTGATAATGTTAGACTTTAACCTGCACTGCGCATAGCAAATATGCGACGCTTTAAATCCAAAGAAGAACTGTCATCTGTGACCCAGGCCCGACAGAAACGAGAATTACTTACCTCAGTTTTTTGTCATGACTTAATTAGTTAAATTAAATTATATATTTTTTGTATTCGAAATCTATGTAACACCAAAATATTACCCTTTGTTTTTGTTTAGGCGTTATACAAAAACTAATACAAAATGCCTATTTATCACCATATTCTTGAAGTCAGTTAAAAAGTAATAGAACAATACTCGTATAGTTACTTAAGAACTAGAACACAGAAATGAAAGCAAATATTTTAAAATAACCGTTTACTTTCTCCAGAATCCACTTATGGCGACATTGAAGATGAGCTGCAGACTATGGCATCTCACAAGACGTGCATGCAAGAAACAATGGATGTTCTTTATGAACGGCATCGGTCATTTATGAAGCATAAAACTTTTATTTTCAGATTGTCTAGATTGAAACGGAAACAAGATGCATGTATTAGGACTATGAAGGCTTTGACTAACGAGGTAAGTAATTTTATTAAAACCATAATGTATCATACTTAATTATAAAGTCGGAAGTACTTACATATGGCTAGGTCTCTCACTTGGTGGACCGACGATCTGGTGAAGGTCGCGGGAAGTATCTTAGATGCGGGTAGCACAGGACCTGTCGTTGTGGAAATCATTAGGGGAGGCCTTTGCCCAGCAGTGGACGTCATAATAATTTTGGCAGAAACGAACGAACAATAAGGCTGAGTTGCACCACCTACCTTTGACCGTAACTATGACGATAACCGGTGCTTTTTGTAAGGAGATTTTTGACGTTTGTCAAAGTTAAAGTAAGATGGTGCAACCCAGCCTTATAATTTCAACTTTAACATTTTCCAACGCGATGTCCTATTTCAACGATGAATATGATATTTTTGCAGAGCGATTTTACATGGTTAGCAAAAACTCAAGACTTAAATAAGTAGGCCCCTTTTAAGTGACCCCTATGAATAGGTACAGAATCTTACCTATTATGTTATATGTTACCATAGAGGTAAAAATTAGGGATTGATGGTGAAAACGGGCATCAGTATTTTTTTTGCTAATTAATAAAATTAATTGTTTTCAGCTTATTACAAAGAAACGAGTAGAGTTCAAGAAAGAATCAGGTAATAAAATTAAACTCAGGGAAATAAGTTATTGGTCTTGTTGTAAGTTTTTTTCGTAATTTCAGGCAAATAAACGTTAAAAATTGAACCTTTAATTTCAGCATCAGAGACTTTATTGGACTTCTTACTGGGGCTGGAAGTTCAAGGAGTCTCCTCTGAAAAGAACACAGTTGATGAAATCAATGGAATTATTTTTGGCGGTTACAGCACTCTAGTGAATTCTTTGACTTTTATATTAGTCATGATTGGATCCAATCCTGAAGTGCAGGAACGTGTTTATACGGAGTAAGTTAATTGTGTTTTACCTGACTGCGCTAGAAGAGGTTATTTGCCAATTGATTATTAGGTTTTGATTGATACTTTTTAATGCTTTAACCGCCAAACCAATTCAAAGAGTTTTGGCTTCTTTCATACACAAAACAACTCAATCAACCTCATACACTCCATAGAATTAAGAGTAGAGCACCATAGTGCATATTTCATTTAAATCAGAGTTCCTATTACACCCCTTCGATGGACTTCTGGGGTTTATCGTAGGTATAGAACGTCATTTCATGCACCCAACGACGTACTTATACCATTTCCTAAATAGCACCTGCACGAATAGCACCTGGCCTATTAAAGTTAGTTACCTACCTATAATAGTTAGCTAGGTTTTGGTTCGATACCCACTGAACCCACTCTATAATAATATTTTCTTATCTTTCTCTTCTTCTATTGAATACCTGTTTGATCCTTTCAATTTAAAAATATTGTTTACAGAATTCAAAATGTATTGAGTGATTCAACACGAGAAGTAAACATGGACGATCTGAATAATTTCATTTATTTGCATGCTGTGATTTTAGAAGTTTTGCGTTTATATCCAGTAGTTAGCATTATAACAAGGAAAACAAAGAATTCTATGGACCTTAGTAAGTACGATTACGAATAAAAGTTATCCTTAATTAACTTATCTAAAAGCTCTATAATTAGCGTGAAGATTGAAACTGTATCAAAATCCTTTCAGTTTTAGATGAATGTTACACCTAAGTCCATTATTTCTCTAGTTATGGATATTTCGCATTCTTTATAATTTTTTGCTTTTGGTAAGTACCTAAGTACGTTTAGCGGGATGGCGCTGGATACAGGCCGCTACTAACCGGCCATTGTGGAAATCATTGGGGGAGGCCTATGTTCAGCAGTGGGCGTCCTATGGCTGAAATGATGATGATGAGGGTAAGTATAAGAGCTTTTATAAGCATGGCGGAAGTTTTTGGTGCAATGATTTCTGTTGCACTAAAACTACTTAGGTACAATAATTTTATGTTCTTCTTCTTTGCCCTCTGAATCATGCGTCTCCAGGCGGGGGCAGGCAGGATAATTTTATGTTCGTTCCAGGTAAATATGCCATCGACCCTGGCAGCAACTGCATGTTATTCATCCATGCCATGAACCGCCACCACTCCTGGGGAGCTGACAGAGGAGCCTTCAAGCCTGAGAGGTGGCTGGATGGGACCTCAAGACCACCGTATGCTACATTTGGCTTGGGAAGACGTTCGTGTATTGGTATGTTTGAAAGAAATATTTTAATATCTTAAACTATTATGTTGCATTTTTAGGGTTCCGTAGCCAAAATGGCAAAAACGGAACCCTTATAGTTTCGTCATGTCCGTCTGTCCGTCTGTCCGTCTGTCCGTCTGTCCGTCTGTCCGTCTGTCCGTCTGTCACAGCCGATTTACTCGGAAACTATAAGTACTACAGTGATGAAATTTGATGGGAATATGTGTTGTATGAACCGCTACAAAATTATGACACTAAATAGTAAAAAAAAGAATTGGGGGTGGGGCCCCCCATACATGTAACTGAGGGATGAAAATTTTTTTTTCGATGTACATACCCGTGTGGGGTATCAATGGAAAGGTCTTTTAAAATGATATAAAGTTTTCTAAAAAACATTTTTCTTAAAGTGAACGGTTTTTGAGATATCAGCTCTCAAAGTCGTAAAAAGTATGTCCCCCCCCCTCTATTTTTATAACTACGGGGTATAAAATTCTAAAAAAAATAGAGGTGATGCATGCTAATTAACTCTTTCAACGATGTTATAGGGGCATTTTTTGGAGAAATTTATCAAATTACCAAAAAAACACGAATTTTTAAGCAGATTTTTTTCAAAAAGTATAATTTTTTATTGTTTTTTGGCCTTTTTTGTGTATTTTATGTATTTTTTTAGTATCGCCGGTTATTTAGCATTATTACTGTTTTTATTTTATCAGGATATACCGCTTAGTTTAAAAGTTATTACGTTTTCTTTACAATAAGTAATTGGAAGAAAAAATATTCTATAAAAAATTAAAAAAAAATCTCAAAAATTTTTTGACCTCTTTTTTGTCGATAAAAATAGGTCTAGTTTCATCTATTTTCATATGTACACTTTAACGTGACTCACACTGTATACAGGGTGTTAGGTAAATGGGTATATGAGCCGACACTAGCCCATGTTAACATGGGCATATAAATGGTATGGTGAAGTCAGAAATTTGATGTCATCATTTATTTTTTTTAAATTTTCATACAAAAATTTTTTTATAAATTCCGATTTGTATGAAAATTAAAATAATTAAAATGAAGATATCAATTTTCTGACTTCACCATACCATTTATATGACCAAGTTAACATGGGCTAGTGTCGGCTCATATACCCATTTACCTAACACCCTGTAGATATGATTTGTTAATTATTATGAGCCTGCTGTCAATTTAAAATCATTTCGTAGGAAAACATATTTAGGTACACAAAATGAACTAAATTTAATATTATTTATGTAGTTAAGAATAAACATTTTTGGATATGGAAATTTTAGTGACAATACAAAAACATGATTAGCATAATCGTGTAAATAAAGCTGTATTAAATTAGAAGAAAGAAAGAAGTAAACAAGTTTTTCAGTTTTATAATAATTCTGTTTCCTAGAAACTAGTTCTTGAGACCTGCCTCTAGGCAAGAAAAAGAAGAAAAGATAGGCAGTAGACTGCCATAGCTGAATGAATCTATGCTTCAGTTTGAACCTAGTTTTAAGTTATTTGGTACCAATTTGGTACAACAATTTTATTATTTTTGCTTTATGTCAATTTGTATCATTCTATTTTTAGTACCTACCAAATAAATATTTTTTCTTTCTTTCTTTCTATGTTTATTAAGAGAGGTAGAAGAGTTAGAAGGAGAAATTTTACCATGACAAAAAAAATATATTATTTTTATATTGCCCACATTTTTGTTGCTTGCGTGGTAATTTTCTATTTTGTGCCATCTACACTACTTCTTACTACTCCTGTGGACGTTACAGTCCACGAAAGTGTTTATGGACGAAGGCCTCTATTCTGATTATTGTCAATTTGCCACGAAGTAGGTATCTCAAATGTACTTCAAAATATCAAAAGTGTGAAGAATCTATACTGTTTTTTTTCGGCGCATCAACAATAACCCCTTGATACACAACATCAATTGACGGCTTAATACCTATTATGTTGATTAAGTTATATTCAGTGTCCGTAACAGTCACGTAGCATCACTCGCACTACATAGTCATGTACATAACAGTGTTTATACAAGCATTCGTGTTGTTGTTGGCGTTCGCATGCTATTGGGTGCTCAAGCCGAATGTTAAGAAGCCCCCAGCATTCCCGGGCGCTTTGCCCATCATTGGGCATGCTCATTTGTTGGTTGGGGATACAGCACGTAAGTAACTAGCCCTGAAGTACTTTTATTTTTGGAAAGGTTTAATTAATAAACTCTCTCTTGTTAGGTACTTAGGCTGGGTTCAACCATCTTACTTTGACTTTTTAACAAACGTCAAATTAATAAGGTAAGGCCTAATAGCAGCCTGGGTTCGATTCCCGTTGGAGTAAAAGGTATCAACTCGTTTTAATCAGCTTTATCACATACAGTTCACGATTTACTTGCGCCTCAAGAAAGAAGAGATTCGTTTTCGTGATTGCTTCGATACATTCTAAGTTTATTTTCTTAAAAATGTAATTTAGATGTTTGCGGCTCTGTAATATGTGAAACGTTGTTTATAGGCGATTTGAGACACATACAATATTATTATCCATATTATTGGAATAAGGTTTTGAAAAAATCTCACTATTTGTTTGTTTACTTGAACGCGCTAATCTCAGGAACTACCGGTCCGATTTGAAAAATTCTTTCAGTGTTAGATAGCCCATTTATCGAGGAAGGCTATAGGCTATATACCATCACGCTACGAGTAATAGGTTCAGAGCAAAAATGATTTTCACGCGTACGAAGTCGCGGGCACTGCTATTTTTCAAATAAAATGTGTAAGTAAATTCGAAAGTTCAAGGGTCATTTCTTAAATTTACAGATTTGTGGCAGTTTGTGAAATGCATGCAACAACATAATCTAGACAATGGCGGAGTGACGTACATAAAGATAGGCACAAAAACGTATTATGGTGAGTGAAATTACATACTTACTAGGTTTTATCAGGTTCACTGTCGATCTGATCGTTCTTCACTGGTTGGGTTTTTATTGGCGGTCAAGCTGTAGATCCTGGCTACACAGGAGTTGCAGCTGTGGGAACGAGAGGTGGGAATAGTCCCATTTTTCGATCAGTCACAGAAAAACTTGTGATACGCGCGTTTTCCAAAGTTCGGGATAAAAGTTTTTCTCTAAGTCTTAAAATCTTTCTCTTCCATATACATCTTTAGTCCAGAAGTTTACGAGAAAAGTAAAGCAACAAACAAACAGCCTGACAGAGTTAGTATTGAATAGAGTATGGATTAAGTACTTTGTCCAGCAGTGAACGTCATTTGGCTGAAACGAACGAACGAACAAACGATTAAGTTTGGGAGGCTAAATAGTGGCTGTTAATTATTTACAATTTGCATAAAAAAGTACCTATACTCACTTACCCTCTATTACAGCGCTAAGCGACCCAGAAGACTGCACAAAAGTGGCGAGCGTTTGCTTCGAGAAGAGCTTCTTCTACCGCAACATCGTCAGCTCTTGGGTAGGGCAGGGACTGGTTACTGCATCAGGTGAGCAAAATATTTTAATTTAATATTATTTCATGCTTATGCCTATCAATCAAATGGTAGGTATTTCTGTGGCTGCAAATAGTTATGTATGATTCCAAAGTTTCTCGAAGAGATATGATAACATTCTCCTGTTTCCTTTGGTACTGCCAATAGGCTGTCTTTATGTCAATTTTTAAAAGTAAGATGTCTACTGCTGGATGAATGTCTCCGCTAAGGATTTTAACGACCGGTCCTGCGCTTCTCACATGCAGGAGAGCTTAATCTCGCAATCTTTACCACATTGTCTTGTCGGTCCCTCAAATGCATAGTTGCTTGCATAGAATGTATTAATACTAAAGCCTGGTCAAATTATGTTGCTGTCGCGACTGTGCGACTGGCGCCCGCAGTGAGTGTGCGTGCGCGACAGCAACATAATTACGCGCGAGCGATAGGGATGGGTAGCTTGGGGTCATTGGACGGGATTCTACGTGCTCACGGACCAGGCTTTACTTACACACAGTCCTTAGAAAATTAAATAACTTCTTTCTTCTGTGTAACAGTTCCCACATGGAAGATCCACCGCAAGATGTTAAACCCAGTTTTCAAGCAGCAAGTCCTGGAGAGCTTCCTGGGTATAATAAACAGCCATGGAAAGATCTTGGTTGAGAATATGGCAGCTGAGGTGGGGAAGACTCCGTTTGATCCTGTGCCTTATTTGGACAAAGCCATTCTTGAGGCCAGTTTCCGTGAGTATCTGAATCAATAGCTTTTATCTCCGCAATGAGGTGATGAACTTAGTGACATAGAAAAAAAATACAGTATACCTACCTACACTCTACGGGATTATTCCCACCTCCCGTTCCCACCGCTGCAACTCCTGTGTAGTCAGGATCTACAGCTTGACCGCCAATAAAAACCCAACCAGTGAAGCTGAAGTTTGTCCCGGGGGAAGGTGTTTTTGTATGGAGTTTGACAGACGTTTGTTAAAGTTCAAGATGGTGCAACCCAGCCTAAGTAGTAGCAGTAGGAGTTAATCAATTTTCTTTATCGTTTGTCCAAAGGTATCGCGTTTGGTGCTGCCAGAAACGATAAAGAGATCAAAATGGATTCTTACATCCAGGCTTTCAAGGAGGTGACCAACATCCTAATCCAAAGGTTCCAGCACGTTTGGATGCACAGCCGATTCATTTACAGCTTCTCCAATCTGAAGAAGAAGCAGGATAAGGCTATTAAGACCACTTGCGATGTGTCTTTTGAGGTATAAGCGATTCATGTAACCAAGGACTGGTATTGCAAGGCTAACATTTTTAAAGATGTAACTCTTTTGTTCTAGATAATTAAAAAGAAAAAATCAGACAGTGAAATTACTCCAAAGATATCACCAAATTCCAAAACTGGTCAGTACCTAGATATTAAAATGTTTAAGCTGTAAGAGTTACATAAAAGCAGTTCGATTTTTCAAGACAATTTTGGTCAGTACCTACCAGATACTTTCGTTTCCACTTCCATTAGTAGTCGATAGCGATACTAGCTTCGAATTTCAACTTTCATAATGATTTAATATCAATTTTTGATTTACTTTTATTGAATTTACAGACAACAATAAAGTTAAGGGTTTACTGGATGTAATCTTAGACGTCACTAAAGGAGGTTTGACAGTTGAAGAAATAAGAGAAGAACTGGACACGATGATATTTGCTGGGTACGACACTGTGGCTACTACTCTAATTTATGTATTGGTGGTGCTAGGATCGTACCCTGATATACAAGAACGGACCTTTCTTGAGTAAGTCCACGAACGCATAATTTGTAGAAAAGTTATGGAATATTTTTTTAGAAAGTGACCTAATTAAGAAATAAAATATGACTCAGGTCAGTCTTTTAAAGGCCTGCAAGTATTTATTATATTCTTATCAAGTCTGTTGCATGAGTTAATGTTTTTTACATTACACACCTACCTGTTTTTTTACACTATTCCATTTCTTTTTTCAGATTGCAGGAAGTTCTTAAGGTTAAAGACAATGATATTGATAAGGAAGACCTACAGAAGTTGGTGTATTTGGAGGCAGTGATAAAGGAGACCTTACGAATCTTTCCTATTGCTCCTATCATCATCAGGGAATTGGATAAAGATGTTCAGTTAGGTATGACAAGTCTTGTCGCGGAAGTCTAAGGCTACGGCCGGATACTCGCGACACCCCCACTCGGGCGATGACGGAACGCCGCGGAGGTTTTAGTGGGTATACCCCGTCCTTTTCAGGACGGAGCAGCGCCCTTTTTGGCCCGGGAGTCCCACACACCACTCTGTCCCCCGATAGTGGTGACGGTGCGCAAAGCATTTCCTCCGCGACAAAAAAAAAGGTATGACAAGTCTACCCCTCTTGGAGTAAGGATGTGGTTGCGCCCTATTAGGGCGAGACGTCAGGGAAGTTAGCTTATTTGCTAAGCAGGACCAGACGCCCCAGGCGGCTTGTGTCGATGAGTCGTCTGCAGCGGCTCATCAACCCAACTGATGAATCCTTGATGCCCGTAGGGGACGTTCTCAGAAGGGTAGAGGTCCTGGTTTTTAGCGGGTTCCACCATCTGGAGCGTGATATAACTGCCACACCTGGCGGCAGGTATCCATGGGTGGACACTGGGCAGGCCATTTTCCTGGGTCAAGAAAAGTCAGAACGAAGCCAAAATAACGATTCTATGCTCCATATAAAAAGTGCTTTACATAATGCATTAACGCCCGTATTCACAAACTATGCTTCCATAAGTAAACCAGCAATTAGAACGCACAGCGTTGAATAGAGCTCTGTGGTTGGTTCGTATGTCACCCTATGCGTTCACGCGCACTGTGAGACCTTATAGTAACGTTTGTGAATAACGGGCGTGAGTTTAATGTATAAGTACCATCATGACATTTACAAATTGTATTTAAACTTTCAGAAAACTACACACTCCAAGCTGGAAGCGAGTGCATCATGCTGATCTACGCGACTTGCCGCCACCCCGTGTGGGGCGAAGACCGGCATGAGTTCAAGCCTGAACGGTGGCTGGACCCTTCTAAACTTCCTGAGAATCCTAATAGTTTTGCTACGTTTGGAGTCGGGAGGCGATCTTGCATAGGTAATCCCATCATACCTACAATTTATTAAGAAGTTATTCCAATAGGGAAAAAAAACAAGTGAACATCAGGCCAGGCTTCTCCAAGACTGGACTGGGAGTATCCTCCAATTCTTCTTCTTATTCGTTACGCTCTTGGCAGAGCGGTCGTGGTCACGTTGAGGCGTTGTTCACATCGGTTGTAGAGGCGGATACAACTCTCCGCACGATCTCCCTCCATCTCTCTCTATTGGCAGACTTTCTGGTGCAGTCACATAAGCCGTCTCCCACTGCTGCTTTCACTTGGTCGGTCCAGCGCATTGGTGACCTGCCACGCGATCGGGTTCCTTCGACTTTTCCCTGGACGACCAGTCGTTCTATGGAGTTGTCATCCCGCCTCGAGACATGTCCGAAGTATTGCAGTATGCGCGACTGTACTACGGTTGATACACGCTGAGTGACACCGAGCTCCTGGAGTATGGACACATTGGTACGGAACTCTGTCCATGATATCCTCCAATGCTTGTGCTAAATTAGAGAGGGTTGTGCTCNTCCAATGCTTGTGCTAAATTAGAGAGGGTTGTGCTCCTGCAGTGGATACTAAACGACCTGATAATGATGATGACGATAAGTACCTGGATGGATATGGGACAAACTTGACCTTCATTGGTTGGGTTTTTGTGGCGGTCAAGCTGTAGATCCTGGCTACACAGGAGTTGCAGTGGTGGGAACGAGAGGTGGGAATAGTCCCGTAAAAAAAGTACCTGGAGCTAGTTGAACAATATTTTCTGTGTACATTATACTGTACTGAATATTGGCCAACTACTCGTATTTGCACTAACTTAAGCTGTTAAGCTGATTGTAAACTTTAATTTAAAAGTTTCAACATATCTTTCCAGGTAAAGCATATGCCCTGATGTCACTGAAAACCATACTCAGCCACATAGTCCGCCACTACAAAATAAAGGGGGACTACACCAAGCTGGATATGAAGATGGAAATACTGACGAAACCTATAGCTGGACACCACATTACGTTAGAACATAGGATTTGGTAGATTATTGTTAAGAAAGTGTTCACATTACGTTCAAATACGTTTCCGTATACATGATGTAATTTTTATACTACGAGTAGATCAAACAGAAGGGTTGAGTCTAATACTCAAATAATTATTTCAATTCAAACATAGCTTGTGTCAGAGCAGAGTAAATACAAATAAGTAGGTCGTCTTCATAGAAACGCACCAAGCGCGGTTTGTATGTGAGCGCGCCAATATACGTATGCGGCGCGCACGCACACACTGACAAAATTCGGCGCACCTCACCGCTAAATTTTGTCAGTATGTGCCGCATACGTGTTGGCGCGCTCACATACAAACCGCGCCCGTGCGTTCCTATGAAGATGTCCTACTCATTTGTATTTACTCTGGTCAGACGCTTTAGAGTAAGGGCAGTCTAGTATGAGGGATTGTATTAAGAAAATGTTATGGACAGGAAATAGGGCTTCGTTTTTTTCTTAAGCTATGATTTTTCAAAATATATTTTTTGTACATAATATTGTTTTTATTCATTTACCTACTTTATTGTTTATATTAGACTACAACGCCAAAATATGGTTGCTGGAAACCAGCTATGTTCATCAGTGTACGTGTGGCTGAAATGATGATGATGATGATAAATAAACAATGTGTAGGTAAATAGGTATTGTTTATAAGCCGTTGAGTTAGCGTTATGCACTGATTACCCAAACCTATCCATAAATCAAATACTGAATGCACCGGTTTTTCATAATACATTGCATTCGTGTTCACGCAATGCATACTAATGAAGCAAAAAGTTTAGCAACTCTAATTTTAGCTGTTTTTTCTGTTGTGACGTTGCGCACAGTACCCGCAGCACGAATATTGTGCGCAGAATGCAGATGCGGTGTGATGGCCAGCGGAAATAGGCACTTGGAGTGATTTCAGTTTCATTCAGTTTTGGTAGTTCTACAAAATTAAGAGTCATGTACTTACTCGTAAAGGTATAATGGACAAATTATAAGTTTTTTTAAATTAGGGAGGATGAGGCTTTTGTCCAGCAGTGGACGTCATTTGGCTGAAAAGAACGAACGAAATTATAGGGAAAAGGCAGGTAGCTTTTGCTGTATAAAAAAAGGCGTACGCACTGAAAAAAACTAACTTTGACACTTGTTGTTTGTTTCACGAACATAATTAAGTAAATAGGTACGTAAGTTATTTTTCTCTATTCCATTAACTATTGAAACAACCTTTGACCACACTGGTCGTTAATGGGATTCTACAATTATCCTACTTAATATTATAAATGCGAAAGTTTGGATGTCTGGATGTTTGTTACTCTTTCACGCAAAAACTACTGAACGGATTTTGTTGAAACTTTACAGTATAATTGTTTATAACCCAGAATAACATAATATGGGCTACAATTTATGACGATCTGTGACAAAAGAAATTTCACGCGGGTGAAGCCAAAAGCTAGTATGTACATTTATAAAGCATCATACACATTACAGCCATACGTTAAGATAAACGACAGCATGTGAAAGAAATTGTAGTTGTTGAATGGAGGTACTTTATTAATTCTCGTTATAGGGATACGGGAATGTTCCAAAGGAAAATGAGATTCAACACTGAAATGCCTAGCTCGCAACTAGAAATACTTTTAAAATTTTTTAAAAAGAGGTCAACAATATTTTCTGATTTATCTTGCACTGCTTAAGCTACTGCGGCCGATGGGGCAGCAAGGTTCTGCAGTGGAGGCCGCGTACCGGAAAACGCAGCGTGGGACGTCCACCCACAAGGTGGACCGATGATATCGTAAAGGTAGCAGGAAGGCGCTTGACGCAGGCCGCTACCAACCGGGCAACATGGAAAGCATTGGGGGAGGCCTATGTTCAGCAGTGGACGTTCTTTGGCTGAGATGATGATGATGATTGCACTGCTTCTTCTTAGCACTGGCCCACATATTGTTCTGAAGCAGTTGTAAGGTAACTGGGACGTGTAAAGGTTCAACCAAACCAACGCATGCTGACTACGTGCGCGATGGCGATCAGACGTAAACGCATTGATCGCCATAATAACGCGTGGGCTGCACGCGTTATTTTGATCGAACCATAAAAGCGCCTTTTAGAGCCTATTAGCAAAAAATAAATGACTCTTAAGACAGATATTATAACCTACGTATACGAACGAGTTTCACGCGGTCTCCTAAAACCTCGGCTGGGCAAAGTCACGGTTGAAACTGTGTTGTTTGTAGAAGGTGGTCAATCGTTTCGCGTGTGTGTTAGAGCAGGGTTTCTCAAACTTTCGGCTCCACGAACCCATGTTAAAGTTTCCAGGGGACAGCGAACCCCTTTTTGAAGAAAAATAAGGTTTTGATTTCATAAAAAATTAAAATTCATAAAATTCATTTATTTTTGCAAATAGGCTTTTAGAAAGCACTTTTACACGTCCCAATATTAACCCTACCACTGCTTCGGGACAATAAATGGGCCAGTGCTGAGAAGAAGCAGCGCAAGAAACAAAAGGTACCAATAAAAGTTTCAATAAAAGGTACCAAATAAAGTGCCAAAGAAACGTCTTTTTAAACATGTGGGTGTGCCTGTTTCTTTTCGCAAATGGAGTCAATATTACGAGTAATTTTGGATAATATTTAAACCTTCATTCTGCCACTATTGCGTAAATGTAGTCGTGAATCCTTTTTTTT